GTTATCCCAATAGCTCTGCGGATTCTCCATCATACCTTCTTGTCGATAGCAACGGCCGCCTCCCGGTGGCGACCAGGACCGCCACAAGCCAATGGCCGCTTATTAGTTCAGTGTGTGTTTGAACAGTCTACCCGGCCACCAGTGAGACAATGAAGGACTAGTGCAGAGCGCGGCACATCACCAGACGTGTGGGATTCATGCAAGCACAACACCATGTGGAAAATGGCCGTCGACGAAGGCAGGGCATCCAAAGGACCAAAGAAGCTAGGTTGTCAAGCGCATTTCCGAGGAATATTATGCACACAAATAAGACAATACCAAAAGCCTTATTCCTCCTAGAACAACCAGGTGAATGGAGAGATGGATGGATTGATATTTCAGCTGCACGCCTTTATCAAAACGAATGCCAGTGGCAAATCCAAAATTCCCTACAAATCCAAGCACCGACCCGCAGCTTTTACAGGTCACCAACATTCAGAGGATTAAACGAGGAGCAGTTGTCAGCGATTAATAAGACACAGTGCATACCTAAGAATTAAATACGTTAAAAATACGTTTACGCGCAAACAAATTCCAGTTAACAGGTAAACGCATCGCGCACCAGTCATACATACAAGCGATTTCAACTAAACAGGTATCACGCATCACTTATACTTGCAAACGATTTCAATTATCAGGCAGCGCGCATAATACGTCAGGCGTACATGTCAGTCACCCATGCATGTAAGCGATCTTACGCTAACACGCATCACACATCAAGGCACTAATCACGTTCGCATAATCGGCCTTGATGAGCTCTGTGCATTATGGTCTGGTCTCCGACTTCTTATAACAGATTCAGTTGTTTTCCTGGCTGGATGGTCTTGTGCTCTGTAGATGGCTCTGAGCTCGAAAATGAATAGAGGCCGTACTTTCCTGGATTTCAGCCCGAGCGTGTTTTATTAAAAAGTGATCGGCGAGAGGGCTATTATTCCCTGTCTTCCGAACTGGGGGCGTGGACTCATCGCAGACTATGTCCCTCCCATGACTTTCATACAGTTTACACTCAATTTCGCAAACCAGGTTTTTTCGTGCAAACCTCTTGAGACTCACACTAGCATAAATGACATCTACTGCCCCCCCCCCCCCTCCCCCGCCCCCGGGGCACTTCAGCTTCAAGATAGAACATTTCACCAAACTGTTTTTAGCTTATTGTTCTTCCAAGCTATTCGCACGAGCAGGTTTGATTTTCAACGATGTGTTTGAATTTCCAAGGTAGAGTCCAGAATCCGTCGTCCGAAAGGGCATGTTACCGTTTCCTACCACCCATCCTCCCCCCCCCCCCCCCCATACGTGCTCTAATTATTATTTCACTTCTTTCAACATTCTACCTAGAAGTGGAGAATATGCACTGCCCAACAGCAGTCTATACGTCGTTAATGCTCTTTCTTTCTTGTTCATTAAATTATTTGTGACCCTATGGAAAATGTTACGAATCACACTGTCCTTGGTGAAAGTTGCATACACAGATTCACAGCGCAGAATCATGCCGGGATCGGAGGGCTCGATAAAGAGTTCCGTTTCCAGCGTTGCGTGGTTCTTTTGCTTCTTACAATATTATTCTTCCTAAATCGGGCGTAGTAATGGGGAGCCCACGCTCTCGGCCTTCAGCGATAACATTTTAAGACCAATTTGAAACGAAAATCCTGGCCGCCAGCCCATTAAACCCAACTTTCTCAGCCAGATACATCGATGATTATGCCGCAGTGTGGACGCACAGACACCGTGTCTTTCAATAATTTTTTAGGGTTCATGAAAAATCAGCATCCCAATTTAGCCTTCGTGATGGGGCATACAGGAGAAGTGGAGGTCCCATACCGGGATACACCAGTGACAGCAGAAAGAACGAACAGCCGCACAACGTTAGAAACGGAGCTCCTTGTTAAGCCCACCAACTCTGGTATAATTCTGCACCGCAAATCTGCGCATCTAACTTCCACTAGGCACAATATATGTAATCTAGCATGTTCCATAGGGTTCTAAACAAATGATCGAGTAGTGAAAAAGTAGGAGCATAAACAAATTATGAACTTTGCTGTTGGACAATGGATATCTTCGGTGACTTGAAAATGTTACAAGAGCTAAAACCATTAAACAGTTTATTTATCTTATATCAATAAAAATAACATCTGTATTTCATTGAGATTATAACAAGATAGAGAACCATCAAAATTAGAGCACGTGGGGAAAGGCCGGCAGGAAACGGAAACATGCCCTGTCGGACGACGAATTCTTAGCACTACCTCACACAGATGAGCACTTGCTTTGAAAAATGAAACATGTCGTTAGAACATCAAAACTGCACGTGCGCATAGCTTGGAAGAGCAATAAGCTAAAAAATCATCTGGTGAAATATTCTACCTTGAAGCTTAAGTGCCGGGGGGAAGGGGGGGGGGGGAGGGCAATATATGCCATTTATGCAAGTCTGGGTTTCAAGGGGTTTGCACGTAAAAACGTGATCCAAGAGAAGAAGCGTAAACTGTGTGGAAGTCATGGGAGGGACATGGTCTGCGTTGGGAGTCAACGCGGCCAATTCGTTCGATATATAATGAACACATGCGCGGCGCCATACACAAAAGAGAAAATCCCTCTCCGCGACCACTTTTGAACAAAACGCGCTCAGGCTGAAATCCAGGGAGGTGCGGACCTTTTTTCCTTTTAGAGTTCGAAGCCATATACAGAGCACAAGACCATCCAGCCAGGAAAACAACTAAATCTACTCTTATACCAAGTCGGAGGCCAGATATTAACACACAGGGCTCATCATGACCGATTATGCGAACGTGATTAGTGCTTTAATGTGCGATACGTGCTAGCTTAAGATCGTTCACATGCATGGGCGATGCCTGACGCGTGATGCAGGCTGTCCGGTAATTAAAATCGTTTGCATGCAGTGATGCGTGATGCCTGTTTACTTGAAATCGCTTGTATGTGTGACTGGTACGTGATGCGTGATGCCTGGCCTTTCCCAAATGTTGGCTACCTGTTAAAACTGTGGCTTTATGATTCAAAGAAGAAAAAAAACGGAGAATCGAGTAGGATCGGCAGGCAATTTTGAAATTGCCACTGATCTTCGTTTTTATAAAAGCATGCAGAAGAAAGATGAATCCATCTATATCTCCACGCCTCTGGTTATCTTACGACTAATATAAGTATTGCAGAAGCTACTAGCAGTTGTCTCATCTAAGCTCAAAAAGCGAAGAGTTCCCACCAAATACCATGCAAAAATTCAAGCCTTTCCTCACAAACGGACGCCTTACCTGGATAAACCTAGCAATCTCAACGGTGACTTGCAACGATATCGGAATCAGGTTGTTGTACAGGATTATAAACGTCAGGAGGTTGTATCCGAAATTGACAGTCGACATCTCTGAAACAGCACGGCACACCTTGTCTTGATAAACAACGGTCATCCTCATATACCCATCCCATACGATTTTCCGAGACATGTTTTAAGTTGAATGTGCATATGTTATGCTTCAAGTACAGCTTGCTCCTTTACGTAAATCGTAAAGTGCGTTTGCGAGGAGCATTACGCATATAAATAGGGCAGTACTAATACCCTTATTCTCTGTGGAATAACCATGAGAATGTACAGCTAGATGGATTGATATTTCGGTGATGTCTTTATCGAAACAAATATCAGTATCAGAAGAATAGAATATCACTCCTGATGTTCGTTTCGATAAAGGCATGTAGCAGAAACATCAATCTATCTACCTATAAATTCTCCTGGTTACTCTACGAGAAATAAGTCCATTACTACTGACTTATCTGTCCATTCCTTCTTGTGCAAGGTTACCCAAGGTTTGGCAATGTAACAGCTTACTTGAAACAGCTTCCAACCAAAAGTACTCGTTGGGAGTAATCTGAGGATTTCAGAACGGTTTAAGACGTTGCCACCGTAACCCTCCGCGAAAACGGCCGATATGAAACTAAGACATGCATCGAGCCCGAGTCCCAACAAGCCCGCAGGACTCGGCATTTGTTTGACGGTCCGGCACGGATCGGCCCGGCTCCCTGAACAACACAAAGCAGCGTAGCCCGACACTATGCACCGGCCTGCTGACGAGTCCCACGGATTGCCATCTACAAGCTGGTCCAGCACTTCCGGAACACAGCTGGACCCAGCGATTCCAAAGCTCGCCAGACAATGTGGTCCTCATCACAATCCACACACACCCTGCGGATCACCAACACATGACCTGTCCACACATGACCAGCTCTGCAGCCCGGCCAGCTCCAGCGACTTCTTGCAGTTCGCACAATCTCGTGACTGTCGCTTCTGACCTATTATCCCCTGCATGCCTACCAATAGTGTACAGAATGTTGTGTGGGCGACAGCTGGTCGGTGGGCGGAGGGGAGCGGCCACTGACCGTCAAGGCCGAGGTACCAGTCGGTAGCCTGGTGTCGCACCGTCCAGAACTCGCTGGCCACCGCGCTTATAACGCACAGGACCACCAGCAGGCCGAACAGGAACAGGATCTGCGTGTTGGTGCGCTGGTCCACCGTCGAGCGCTTCAGCGGCGCCGGCGACGAGTTCTTCATCAACTTGGTCTCGTGGCCGGTGTAGACGACAGCGCCGAACACCCATGTGGTGTTCTTTAGCTTGGCGCCGCGCAGCAGCAGCTGGTTCGGGCCCAGCGCCACCTCTCTGCCGGATGAGACAAAACGACGGAGTCGGATGACGCAAGTCTGTTGTGGGGGTGAAGGGGGGGGGGGGGACGCACGTAACCGCGAGCCCCTCTCATGACATGAGTCAGACTACAGCGGTAATGCTAGCACCCAGGGGTCATGGCACAGCCTGGACTCTACGCCCAACCCTCCGCGTGGGGCCCACAGTCTCGACCGGTCGGCCACCAATGCTGGGGCGGTGGGCGTGACCCAAGTCCTGGTCTCGTCCCCGGGCGAACAAAATAACCCACAAACTAGCAGTCGCCGCAATGATGATGATTCATGATTCAATCAATCATCTACAACGTGCCGCAAAAAAACAACTGATTTCTCACAACATGCTGCTAACGGTGGCGGCTAGACAAGGGTGACGTGCGAAGAGTAGGCGTGACAACGGATGATCCCCAGTAAGCCCGACACCACACCACACACAGCCGGTAGGGCTTCCCCAACAGCGGCCGTTCCCGATCGCTGGCGCTCACGATTTGCCGGTCTCCTTCAGCGTGCCGACAAACTCGTATAGGACCCGGCTGGGCGGCTCGCAGTCGACGCGGGCGCTCAGCTGGTCCAGGTCGCGCGTGTCCAGCAGCCGCGCCGTCGCCGGCAGGCTCTGGCGGATCTTGAGGTTCGTCTCCCCGTCCAGGTTGGCCGTCTCGATGTAGCACAAGCCCTGCGGCTCACTGGGGACGCGCGTGCCGGGTCAACGCGGCAGGCCCGAGGGGAGAGCCTACACCCCTGACGGCCGGACTGTGGGCGCGGCGCATACGACCGCTGAGCACACCACGCACGTCCCGACCGGACCGGAGGCTGGACACGCCACCTCCCCGACGCCAGTGGTGTAGCCCACACTCCGAGCATTTGACCCATTACGGATTGAACGTCTACCTTCCAATCCCGAAAAACACGTGTAAATTACACAGGATAGTCATGCCAGCTTTTAGAAGGAGGCAAACTGTTTCCATAAAATTATTGCAGAACTAACAAAAACGATGGCGGCATTGATCAAGACATTTAAACACTGACGCATCGTCTCCGGTACCGGATCCCACTGTCTTTCACTTCCAACAGAGCCTTCTAGTTTCCCGACAGATCGTCGACAAGAGTGCATGTGCTGGACTGGAGCCACTCCCGACCGGTACGCCGCCGGTCCAGATGCACTAACCTGGAGGAGAGCAGCATCAGGTCGGCTGGAAAGTAGTGGTCGCTGCGGATTTTGCAGAAGTCGCCGACGCCCACCTCGGCCCAGCGCTTCCAGCGCCAGTTGTGTTCGTCCAGCACCTCCACCTGGCGGTTGTTGACCTCGTCGTCGGCGCGGTGCCGCTTCTGCGGAGGACGCGCGGCGTTAGTACAACTCAAACCGCACATTTGGGGCTGCCAATGCCTTCACGTGGCATCTGGCGGCGCTCTGCGTGCACTGTATCTCACCGTCCACACACCATCAGTCATCCGACGTGTCATGCTGGGCAGCGTACTCTTGGACAGGTGTCCCTGCCTCTACCGAAACAACCTGCAGACATCGCTTCGTTGGGTCACATTTGAACCCGGAACTTAATTGCTTGACGGTCTTGAAGGCAAATAGCTTCATGCTAGTGATAATATATTGCTACTGACTGAGTACTACATGATCAACATTAACTTATGATCAGTTTCATGCCTGGGCCACTATCTGTACAAGACGCCATCCCGTGGTGACGGCTGATGATCGGTGATGGTGCGACGGACACGTTCTATAAAGGTCTGTGGAAAGTTTCGGAAAAATGTAGCGTTTTACAAAAAAGATGGATACTTTCATTGCTAAATTTTTCGGTGTCTCTAGACCTCTATAATCTGCTTGCTTCTAGCTTTCCTGGTTCAGATGGTGTTGGATGTCATCGCCCGCTAGCGTCCGCTGTTGGTCGGGATCTGTTTCAATCTCATGAGCTCCGCGTGCAAAACATGCCAGCACAGCGTCGGAACGCTCCTCGCTTCTGATTTGGCTCCGGTCACCACACCTCTGGTGCCCACCTGAACATTCGCAATCGCTATTTAACGGGGATGTCCCGCGTTTGAAGATATTGAAACGAGCACCAGTTATCACGAAATAAGCTCACTTATAACTATTGACATAATGTTATGTGAAAAAGACCACTCTAGAGAGCATAATTTTTCTGTTTAGTAGATATGCTCCTCAATACGTCATTGTTTGACTGCGTCGCCGTACCTTGCACGACACTGATTGAGAGCTAATCGACGGCCATTATATCTGGAAATCGTGCTCACAAACGACAGTTATGAACGACTCGACATCTCTATTTTTATTGGCCTTGATCGCCACATGGCCAATGGAATGACAGGGTTTGAATGACGTTATTATGGTGTCATGGATGCCTGGGTGACCTTGAAATTCTGCACGAAGTCTTCACATCTGCGCAGGCGCGAAGCTTAGAAACTAGAACGGTGTAGGTCTTACGAAGGACAGAGCTGTTAACTATACCGAATTATCTTCATGATGTTCATTTCAGTCAAAAGGACATGAAAATGTTTTAATACTCCCTTCAATCATATGCCGACATCAGTGGCGTTGCAATACACTGAGGTGTGAAAACAGGTGACTTCGGTGCCTAGAAGAACATGAAAATGAAAGTTTGTTATCTAAGCTCACATGATAACTTAATTTGAGAACCGGTTTTCTTTCAGTCTTGATTTCGAAGTAATGGAGTGGCCCGGGTCGCATATGCCAACATACCAGCTATAACGTCGGAAAGTCTGCTATTGTTTCCACGAAAATGCTGGGTGACCCACAGATTGACCCAAAACAATACTCTCAACAGGGGGCATGTAACGATTTACACGTGGCGGCCCGAAGTTTGAGCCAACTGTCAGAGATGAGCTCAGCCTTTCTAACAGTTTGTTTCTTTTATGCAATGACGCATTAGCACAAGTTTCGATGATCTTCCACCTAAAATACCGAGACAGCTTTCGATTGCAGGCATGCTCTTCGTCAATATGTTGTCCTTCCATCTCCTCTAGTTTCAATTTCATTACTTTCCACAGCCTGATTGCACGTTGGAAGGTAGATCACACGGTTTTACGACAAAGTAGGGGTGAGACATCTTGACCTTGATGGGAAAGAATGCGCTTTCTATGGCGAAGGTCGCGACCGAAAACGGAGTGCCTCACACGATCAATCTTCACGCAAGCGCACCTCAACGTGGATACACCGACGCCATCTGACACGACAGCCAGCAGTGGAAGCAAAAAATATCCTGACACGACAGTAAGCAGTGGATGCAACAAACCTCCGGACACGACAGTAAGCAGTGGAAGCAACAAACCTCCTGATACGACAGTAAGCAGTGGAAGCAACAGATCACTCATGGGACGAGTCAGGATAACAAAGCCAAGGTTGTTGAATTACTCGTACTTATAGACCTATATTAAATGTATTCAACCGAATTTATATATATTTTTAGCATTATTCTTAATGACTTACTCTTCATTACAAGTAACAACTATTCACCCCCAATCATATGCGAACTGCTCCCCCGCACCCTTCTTCGCCATCTCTCTCGCTGTTGGTGAGCAAGATCCTCTTGCTTCTAATAAAAACGCGGATCACCGTTAATCGTCAAAAATCACCTCCCCTCTGCCTGCACTTTATTCCCATTGCCACCATTCATGCCGAGCCTACGGCCAGATGCTGAGCTGATGGCCGCCGACCTCGCAGATCAACCCATGACGCTTCACGGAAGAATGAAAACTACCCGACACGCTATGCTTAGAATAGCGTTATCGGGTTGCAAAGAGACAGCACCCCGGGTTGGCACTGGCGTTATAGTAATGAGTCACTGTTTCCGGATATACTCATCTTTTACGCTAGCTTCGCGTGTTTGGACCTCGGTCACCATTCTATGCATGAGCTATTAACATAGAAAACTTGAACCGTCACCGCCAGCTCGTCTCTGAAGCGGATTCAAAACACATGGTTATTACATTCGGTTGCAGTGCATCCGGCTGCACCAGGTGCGGCTTTAGAAGCGTGACTATTCGGCAAAGCGTTGGGAAGCGGCGCGCCTGGCGGCCGGTGACACAGAGCAGGCGTCTGACCTACTGATACGACCACGCCGTGCGACGCGCGGTGGTCGGGGCCGCCGTGTGTCGCACGGCGAGGCGCAGCACGATAAATAACCAGGGCGCGGTCGGACCGCCCGGCCTTGGCGGCGGCTGACACATCACGGGCGGGGCCGGCTGGCCGCCGTCGCTGCCGGCGGCTCGGCGCCGGTCCGCCCCATCGCCGCCAGCAGCCGGCCCCGGCCGTGACCGCCGGTGACAACGCGCCGGCAGGTTTTGATGGTCGCCGGGCGTCAGGCGAGCACCGATTCGCGGGGGGCGAGCGGCACTGATGGGATTGGTCGGCAGCAGCGCACCTGCCCCGGCTGTCGGCCACCGGCCCCTGGCCGTGAACCGGTTGCCCGCTGTCGGCCCCTGACAACGGGCCGGCTGTCCGCCATCGGCCCCTGACCGTGAACCGGCTGCCCGTCGTCGGCCCCTGACCGTAGACTGGCTGTCCATCGTCGACCCCTGACCGTGGACCGGCTGCCCGTCGTCGGTCCCCGAACACGGACTGGCTGCCCGCCGTCGGCCCCTGACCGTAGACCGGCTGCTCGCCGTCGGCCCCTGACCGTGGACCGGCTGTCCGCCGCCAGCCCCTGACCGTGGACCGGCTGCCCGCCGTCGGCCCCTGACTGTAGACCGGCTGTCCGCCGTCAGCCCCTGACCGTGAACCGGCTGTCCGCCGTCGGTCCCTGACCGTGGACTGGCTGCCCGCCGTCGGTCCCTGACCGTGGACCGGCTGTCCGCCGTCGGCAATTGACCGCACACGGAGCTCCGGTTACATCGCCAGTAGGTGGTGCCTGACGAAAAGTTCCGTAGTTTAACTCTATGCCGGGCGGCCTCCGGGAAATCCTACTCCGGCATAGTGGGTGTGGATCCCGCGGTCTGTCAGATCCCGCGGTCAGTGAGATCTCGGGGAACTGCCCGGCCCATTTTGAACACCCCGAGAGCATTTGATCTCTCTCGACGAAGTGCAGATAAAATTTAAAACCTCAAAAACTTCTAGTCGGGGGGAAGGACAGCAGAGGCCAAAGAAACCAAAGAAAATATAGGGTATTTTGATCAGTTGCTTGTTGATCAGATGATCGGGTGGTTGTCACATTTACCAAACCTTTTCGACGCGACCAACGCGAATCGATAATGATTTCGAAATTGATCGAAAATGACGACATTTCAATATTTAAGATTCAGGAACGTATCCCGAGGACGCAAAACGGAATCCCACAAAATTGTTAAAACAGGTTGATAATTGAGCGCATGCGGAGCAAAAGGGATAGCCCTTTGCCCTGCCATCAGAAGGGCAGGGCTAGTCCCATTTAGGAAGTGGGCGTCCGCAGAGCTAAGGTGCCTAGTGGGGCGTCAGCAGGCCTCAGGTGCCTGTTCAGGCGGTGAAAACAGGCGGCTAAGTGACTAATAGAAATTGATGTTGGTCACAGTGCTGCTATTGCGGTAAATGAAGTATACTACCCATGCCACATGTGTGGCACATGGATGGGGGTCTGTCAACGAGGGACCGCCCCCTCATGTCTGCACATAAACACATGCTTGGTCGCTTGTTGGTCACTGGTTTATTGCTGTCATTTGTTGGATGGGTCCGAAATGCGGTGGTTTGGCAACACGTCCAAAATACTTGCTACCCATGCCCCTCAAATGCATATACAAATGAATAATTATGACGTAGCTTTGGCGCGCACGTACACCAACACCGTGGTGCAGGTGCCACGCTCAGCGCCAACCGGCTGTACGGGCTGACCGAGTCAGCACAGCGGGGAACAAGGCAGAAGGCCAATGGGTAAAGGTGGATGAAGCACATCTAGCGATGCACCACTCCTCTACGGCACATTCGCACACGCAGCTCTGCTCGTTAATACGAGCAAGACGGCAGGGAACTGATTTCCCTGACGACCGTCTGAGCTGACATGACATAACCCAGCCAAACGATCGCTGTCACGGACAGGCCGACGTTCCACCGGAAATAAGGGCAGCTTCGGGGTCGTGCCGACCGCGGCACACGCCCAATATTGCTACGCTGTGCGATCTCGCCCGTGGATGAGCGACGAAGCCCGTGTCTCAGTCCGAACGGCCGCTCGCCGACCACACACTGTCTCTGCCCGTCAGGTCGGCTCTGAGGCACCGCAGACGAGCGGGGCCGGCTGTTCCGGCGACGCGTCCTGTTCCAGCGTCATGCTGCCCTTCGCTCTCTGGCTCCGCTCCCCCCCCCCCCCCCCCTCTCCCTCCCCCCGGTCAGCCATTGCGCAGCGGAGCGCCGCCGTTACCAGCGCAACTTAAACAAACGGTGACCACTTCGAACGCAGCAGACTGCTCTCGTTGCATGCTCCGCTGGCACACAAACACTCATGTGTCGCGTGATGCCGGTGGCGTGAAGCAATGCACAAATGGAGTGTCCAACCGGCCCCGCTCCTAGGCCTCACGGCCGGCCTGCAGCGCTGTGTGCGGCCTCACTGCCGAAAGCGCGATGTATGTGTCCGGGAATACCCCCGCCGGTCCCGCGCCCATGCGCCACATCCAAGTGAGGTCATCGGGAAAATACCCCCGTCAATCTCCGACACCACAATCGCAGCCTTTGTCGCAAGCGCATGCACACGGCTCCATGGCATATGCGCCTGCACCGACCACCGACCGGCTCACCAGCCCGCCGCGCGCTCCACATGCGGACACCACCGCCAGCGACCTGTACGCTGAGCCGATGAGTCAGTTCGTTGCAGGCGGCGTGTCACGTGCCTCCCGGCTGGCGCCCGGCAGGCGCCCGGCCACCGCCGCCGGGCCCCGGCCGCCGGGCAGTCGCAGCCCCCAGCCGCGATGACCGACCGTGACTCACCCAGTCCTCTATGAACTCCTTGACGGCCGATATGGTCAGGATGCACACCAGTGGCGTCAGCGTGGTGTACTTGCCGGTAGGAGACACATCCGGTATTTGCTGAAACAAGGAGCAAGCGGTGGATGAACGTTGCGGCAGGGAAGTCTGCCGCTGTTACGCGTACTTCAATTCCTTGCATCGGGCCCGGGGGTTTTCAATAGAGCTTTCGGGTAGTGGGTAAGGGGTGGCTTTCTCAGTCAGTTTCTCAGTCTCACTCGGCTTTCGTCGCTCTGGAAAAGTAGGATAACATCAGCAGCGTTCACCGCTCTGGAAACGTGGGATAACATAAACAAGGGAGAAACTGAGCGTCGCATGAAACGCACAAGTTCAGACATCGTAACTCATTCTGATTCAGCCAATCCTCTGTCCACCAAACACAAAATGATCCGGAATAAACTCCGGCGAACCATTAAAAGGTAATCCGAGTGAAAGGAAATAGGAAGTTAGCCCAGAGTAGGAGAATCTATCGAGCTTAAATTGGCAAATTCGATTTTACTTTAACACGCGCCCGGGTGGCCGGCTAGATACCCTTCGCTCGGGTGGGGAGAGTCAATTTGACCCCCCTGAGATCTCGGGAACTAAGAGGGCTACAGACACCAAATTTAGAGTGTGTTAACCTGTACGTGAACTCACTTAGGTCACGGTTTTAAGTGTCTCGGTCATGACCTTCGGGTCAAATAACGTCAAACAAGGTCAAATTGCAAGTTGGTTTCCAAAGTGCCCCAGAACCTAGATAACCGTTTCTAAGCAAAAGGTCATATGCTCAGTTAAGGTCAGTAACCTTGTTTCATCTTTTGAATGTCATGGTGACCAAAATCATGCAGACTGCTCTGAGTTTTGCATTTGAATAAGCGACAAAGATTACGCTAAGCAGTATGTTTCTAAAGACAAAATGTTGACCTGGGTCATTTTAGGTTAATGACCTATTCTGACCTCTATGAAGTCCTTGGAAGATATATGATGCGGTTCCTGCTCGATAAATTCGAAATGAGCACCAGAAACTATTCCGTACGGCAAGCCCTAGAGTAATAAAACAGACTGGTTTTGACCTTGGTTTGACCTTTATACCTAACCTTACGTCAACACAATTTGCTCATTCAATACTTGCGTTGCCTAAGAAAGCATCTCAGTGATGTATGGCCTTGCCTAACACTTCGTAGTCGCATGAGATTGAACGATTCCGTTGAAATTGGCTTCGCTGAAACCATGGCCTGACTTTGACTTGCCATAGGTCAGCAACCTTACGAGGTATATCCAAATTTTTGATGTCAAACGATCCGCTATTCAATTGTCTACAGCTATGCAAATTTTGGCGCGGCTGCACCGCGCCGTTCGGAAACCATTCTGGAAACACCTTGGGTGGGGGGGGGGGGGCAATCTGACCCCCACCCGAGCGCGTGTCAAGGTAAAGGATATCCGTAGAACCTACACACTGAACCGCTTCAGGAGGCTAGGCAGTCTGACCTTGGCAGCCTCTCTTAGGCACTCCTAAAAGCCGGAACAAAAACAGAACAGCCATGAGATGGACATTTGATATCACCTGCGTAGATGAAAACCTGTTTCATAAGGCTGAGTTGAAAGTTAAGAAGGCAATGCCTTGATTGTTAGGCGATGTGGAAAAGGTGAGTTAGCTTAGGAAAAGTTTCCGTCGCGGAAAAAGCGCAAGTGGCGAAGTTCGTCAAAACAATAAAACAATGCAAAAAGACAGCCAGGGGATGCACAAAACAACTATTGAAAAACATCCATCGCACATAATCTTCATTTTGAAAAAATCACAATAGGCTCCGGACCACTTTGCTTGCCTACATTTATCGACTTACAACGTCCCGGAGATAAGGGATGCCGCACCTGCAAGACGGCTTTTAAAGGGAGTGCACCACCTTTTTGTACTTTTCGCTTATTGTCACATCACGCGCATACGACTTGATCAGTAATGCCAGTTTTCTCGAAGTCCTGAATAGCTCAAAATTTATATTTGAAGTAGCCGGCCCTATGGGAGAAATCTGATTTCACTCCTTGCTCACCACTATGACAGCAACTTCGTATTTGCCTCGTTTTTCCCACGTGCATGTTCTGTAATGTTTGCAACACACCGCTATGTCCAAATGTCTGTGTACTGCATGCTACGAAAGGTTGAAACACTGTTTAAACAAAAAAATATGCAAACATGTAGCCATTATCTCGTGAATTCCACGAAACGTAATACTCTGACTTTGATTTCTCCCTTATAGCGTTTACCATAGTGGTTCTTTTCGAAGCGCACTTTGCCTTCGGGAATGGAACCATGACATGATTCATGTGGCGCAATGGTTCAAAATTCAACCAACCAACTGAGGAATGAGGACAGGTTGTTGATCAGGACGAGGAAGAGCCTTGGTTCGACGATGGATCCTTTGAGTACTCGGTGGATCGGGGAGGGCGGGGTGTAGGAGACGCCGCTCACTGTTTATTTATGGTCGCCCAGGAGGCTCCACAAACACGCTGACTGTACGCCGTGCCACTCAAGTTGGTCCACGACGCCGTGGTTCACGCTATCAAACGCTTTACTCAAGTCCAGCGTCGTTAACGACACACCCTCGCCTTCCTCTAGCTTTTTCCATATCCAGTTGACAGCGTCGCGCATGGCGTTCACTGCGAAATGACGCGGCCAATATGCATACTGGAAAAAAATGGAGAGCAGACCATTTTGGGTGAGACAAGACACAAGTTGAATCGACCAAACTGTCGTCGACAAAGTCGCTCCGATTCGTTACAGCAGGACAATGGAGATGGCAAGAGGCCTCTGAAAGGTCTGTGTTTGCCCCATTACCGGACTTATTGACAGTGTGGGGCGGCGCCCTGGCAAAATGCCAGCCCGCCCGGCGACCTTTCCAGCATGATGCGACTGGCCCATCGCCAAGCGTTGCACCGCTTCGTGAACGTGATGGGACAGCTTCAGAAAACATAACAGTGCTGTTGGGAACAACATCCTCGCCGCATGGTCGTGCCCTTCGTCAGGACTACGACGGACGGTACACACTTCACATGTGGTAGTACGTCTTTAACATTTGCGCGAGTGCGTAGTGCGCCTTTTCAATTAAAGGGGTTTGGGCCGGCTGAGATCTAATGCCGAGATGATCGTTCGAAGCTTTCGGCCCACTGGCCTTATAATTAGTACAGCCAACACAAGCAACAGGCAAGAGACAGACAAAGAGCCGTCACCTAACGCCACAACCGTTGAGTTTCAAAAGCCACAACGGTTAAGCAAAGAAGCTTCCAGATTGTCCAGCAGGAGGATAGCTAATGAAACAAAAGCAAAGGGTCCTTTTCAGTCCCAACAGATGCAAAATGACTAAAGCATGGCAACTTCCGCAATGTTATGTTCAGTGGACCTAGCCGCACCACTATGCCCGAAAACACTATCACATTCGAAAGTGCGATGACATGAATATTAGGTATATTTTGCGCTGTAGACATAAGGTCGACGTTTCATTTCGACTCGTCTCTTTTCTTTCGGCTATATCTATCTAACACGATTTGATGGGCACCATATTCATTTAAATTTTTCTGAAAAAAGAATATCCGACCAATACGCGCTAAATGTGTGTCATCATATGTACTGCCAAATTGTAAAGCATCACCATCCTTCAACAGAATTGCGTATCAAAACCAACACTTCACAAAATCTTACGGTGCAGAGCGAACGTCCGTAAAACACGTCCTAAACACCAGGACGAGAAAGTACGACTTTCGACGCAAAAGCAAATAAAGTAAAAAAAAAGACAGTGAAACCCAATCCATTTGTGGAAGTGCAGCCCGTATTTCTAGTATGGCATATCTTCTTGCTGGGTTCTGTTGAAGCAAATGTACGATGCAGCTTTCGAAATCAGCTTTTTAAATGGCGGCACGATGGCATTCGAAAAGGCTGAAAAAGCAGACGTTTGAAACACGAATGACTGCTGGACCGCCAAAAGGACACGGGATCGATACAAAAATAACTTCATGATGTATATCATGTGTCATCACCATGGCGCATGCCATCGTCTCATCATATCATTTTCATCATCGGCGCCGACTCCTGAAGTGTCGCCCAACCACAAACACCGTTTGGCTGGGTAGGCTGCCTCGGGTGAAGCACAAGAACTGAGCTTGAAGATATGACGAAAACATGATCAGATCTGTGTGAGCGATATCATTTCCTAATGCGGATGACTTTGTCAATGAATAAGCCTCTGAGGGGGCAATTTGCGGGAAAATTTGACTTAAGCTACCACTACTTTTAGCCCTCTTCAATGAGTTTGCGTACAACTGACACCCCTGCCCTCCTACTTCCTACAGCTGTCATGCTCTTCTTCGTGCGTTACTGTAACTTTGCTTCCACTGGTTAGCTGGGAGTGCGACGACTCGATCTTTTTTGCTTCCTAGTCCACACGTTTTTTTTGGGGGGGGGGGAGTCGCAAGGATAGAGGGAGGGGAGTAAGGAGTCCTGGTGATTTGTTCATGGGTGACGGCTTGGGAGAGAAATCCGCGTCCATTTCCGAGAAGAGCTACACTGGTACAGGCCACCGCAGGTAGTTCCCTTGTTTCCTACGTGGCGGCCGCGTGAGGCTTCTGCCATCCCCCGCCCCCCCCCCCCCCGCCGGGGCCCACTATAAATAAATTCAAACGGCGCCACATCCGGCTCTGGGAGTCCCGGTGATGTCATCCTGCCGGTCGTTGCACGGGCGCCGCCGCTCTTCACCGCAGTTCAGACACGAGCGGCCCATGGGTACCCGTATAGCATTGGCAACGGATTGGGGTTGGTGCATATTTTGACAAAATTGCTTGGGGTAAGAGCTGACAAATGTCGGATAGACAACTCAGGATGATGATTGGGGCTTGGAGGCAGAAATACTATAAAATACTTCTGTTTGCGCTTCGTTTAATTCTTACGACAGGTGGGCACGGGCACAGCCTTACCGGTAGCGGATGCCTTCGGTCAAGGAAATCTAAACCGCGAATATCTTTAGCTCAAACCCTGTAAGACCGCAGCAAAGCCCGCCTCAGCCGTGCCTAAGCAGGCGGGCAGTTGCCGGTCGGCCTGATTCCGACTGGGACGGCCTGGCGGGCGCCTGGCCGTGCCCGGCGTCAGCGGTGGCGCCGCGTCCAGCCGACTCCATCCCGGCCGCCCTCATTACCACGAGCTATGCGCCGTGAAGGGCGGACGCACCGGCGCCGGCAAAAAACAGCCCTAAATCAGCCTGCGCGCCTCCCTCAGGAGTCGCAAATCGCTCGATCACGCTCGAAGCCCGACAAAGGGCCGCCGTAACGAAGGCGGGCCGCTCCACGTGGCTGACCACAAGCTGAGCAGAGTGCTGCAGCCGGGACCTCGCCAACAAACAGCCCATGTTGCAGCGGTTAGGAATTGAACATTTTGCTGGAATTCCACATCTGCCAGCCGAATATGCTGTCCAAATAGCTGCATGCTAGTGCAGCGTACACCGGAAGACCACGCACTTCCGGATCGTGACAGGGCAAAATAAAGCATGCCGCGCTCGACGGCGACGGAGCAAATCCACCCCCCAAATAAGGCGCGCCATGAGGCCGCATCACGGCGACAAACGACGCCACTGCTGACGAGAGGCCCGCGCTTATATAAGCTGTGCAAACACGGGCGCCGTCACACGATGGAGCGGATGGCGCGGCTGCGTGGTGGTGCCGAGCGCATCTACTGCGACGTCACGTACTGTGACGTTCCACACTATATTACGACGCAAAATTTACGGCAGTCAGCATTTCGGAGATTCAAAGACAGGCAGGCTAACGTCCCCCTAATTTAAAACAAAGTTTCATGATGTATTTTCAGCATGTTAAGAAAGCAAGACAAGCAATTTCGGCACAGGTTTGAAGTACGTGGAATTTTCTTCCAATTGGTGCAAAGCATCAACTACGTATTTGCCATTGCTCCCAGTAAAATGTGAACAGAAAAGATGAGCCACGTTGAGCCAGCCGCATAATGTTACGAGCAGCACTAGGAAGAGAATAAGACAACGCTTAAAACATGCACCGTGTCCGAACCATCGACTTCACCTGGAGCACACTCAAGCAGCTGGTGTACGAGGGAAGCTGGACAGCGAACAGCAAAATTCAACTAGCCCGCGGGATCAAGCGAAGGATCAGGACGCAGACATCTGTCACATATAAAGACGACTAAAGACATTGTGCGAAAGATAATATTTGTCCCCGATTTTAAGGAACACACATATTCCTAGTTTCCAACGCAGGGGAAACCAAGCGGAAGGAATCTCCTCTCCCTCCCGCTATTGAGGGGCGGATAACAATGAAAACCCAAGTGTCACAGAGATGGTGTTCAGCATAATTCCGAGCCCTCACCAGTGTCATTGCATGCTGATATATAAACACTACGCACAAACGCATTATGTAATGGTAACACCACGAAACACAAGAACCCACACAAAACCTCCACCAGCGAGAGAAGGCGTCTTGGCATGTCAACCAACTGACCTGCAGCAGCGCGATGAACAGGAAGAATATGTTTGAGTAGCGGCGGAACTGCTCAAACAAGAACTTGGGCAGGAAGGAGAAGACGCTGTACTTGGCGGTGGTGATGGCGTTGGAGACGCACTTGTTGGCCGGCTGCTCCTTGTTGAGATATACCGTGCGATGCTCGGGCGCCTCCGCCGCCTCCGTCGCCATCGAGCGCGCATCCTCGTCTGACGAGACAGACAACACATCCGTCATACGGCTGTCACAACGGCGTCGTGTCAGTCACACAACAGTCGTGTAGGTTGCACAACTGCCTAAAGCTTCCTGGTATTGTTCGCATCTGTCACGTGGCCTCCTCACACCACTGCAATCAGTCACACGACCGGCAAACATCACTCGCATGTGCCCCGACCTCCACACACATCATGCACCGCACCGCGCCTTTGCTCCGCCTGCACCAGCCACACGCCGGCTGACGCCAGCAAACCTGGTCACATGATTTCGCGGGGCTTCCTCGAGCCAATCCACATTTTTTACACAGCTTCCTAGCATCATCCAGAATCGTTACGCAGCTATCTGTTTTGGATCATTCACAATTGGCATGTCTCTTGTCGTTCTTAGCCTCCGAAGCTCCTTTAATCTTGGCACCGCCGAGGCTTCGCGCAAACCGAAAACTGAGAAGGGGTACCTCAGCCCCTGCTACCTCGGAACAGAACACAGACGCATGCATAAAAGGAAGCGTCAATACACAACTGATGACCCCTGGACCTAGTTGCGTGGAGCGAATTTATGAACCAATGTACCCTGGTGCAACTGGCTTCATTGCGCTTCGTATTCTTACATGGCCTAAATTCGTAAATTCGTGAGTTCGTAAATTTGCTTCATGAAACTAAGCCTGTAGAACTTTCACCTAGGTTGTCTACTAATTTGAGGTCAAGCCCAAGGTCTTACTAGTTCACTCGGCGTTCGTCACTTCATTCGCACACAACCGACACGCCAATCGTCTGCCATTTCAATCTGTTAGCAAACAAACGGTTGGGTACGCCACATCAACAAGTCCAAGGTCTTACTAGTTCACTTGGCGTTCGTCACTTCATTCGCACACAATCGACACGCGAATCGTCTCCGTCCTTTCAATATGTTAGTAAAGAAACCGTGTTGGGTGTACCACATCAACTTATTCAACCGATAATTATGTGCTGCTGGCATTTCATTTACGGCACGCAGTTGTCCAGCCAGTTACATTTCAAGGTCAACCTAGGTCAGCAACAAGGCTTGAGATTCCTCTCAAAAACTTTGCGGGTCTAGAGCCGGGGTTGGTTGAACACAATACCCTCGGTGGGACGTCAATTCCCCCCCCCCCCCCCCCCGTGATCTATTGGAAATAAGAAAGCTGAAGACAACACATTCGCAAAGTAGAGAAGCCTCGACGATTTATGACAACGTAATTCGTTTGTGTGATTTTTTCGTTTCTAGGTCATGACAATCGGCCAACTTAGGTCAAATAAGGTCATACGCAACCAACTGGAACCCACATATTTTACTGAAACAAAATTTCAATCCAGGTTATTTCAGGCCTCGATCTTAAAACCTTATCTGATCTCTAGAACCTCAAACTGACAAAAATCAAAATTATTTTGGTGTTATAATTTCAAACAGGCGTTTAGATTTACACTAGGTTGTGTTCTTCCAAGTAAAGGTATGTTCAAGGTCATTTTGGGTCTGTGACCAGAACGATCTTGAACAATCCTAACCTTCACAAAGTCACCGTAAAAATTTGCTAACGTCTTTGTGAGCAGCAAACTCCGCATGATCGTCATAAGCTACCTCATCCCCAAGCAGATTTTCCCGTAAAAAAACGGTTTAGTTTTGACCTTGACCTGACTTTTGTCACTGATTCAAAGCCGATAAAATTAGTCCTAGCCCAAATTAAAACCTTAATTTTCTGAGATACCACCTCAAGTTGCATGAGTTCGTCCAAAACTCTGCTGCCCACTCAGCTCGAAAGCTGCTCTGCCCCTGACCTGTATTTGCCGGCGGATATGGGCCGGCCTTGAGCCGCTACGAGGCTTGTAAGACATGCCTTAATTTTTACATCACGAGGTCGGCTTTTCCACTGTCCACTGTGCAAATTTTGGCGTCACTACGTCATGCCATTCGGAAATTATTTGGGGAAAACTTACAGTGGATTAACTTGACCTCAGTCAGGGCACTTAAGCATACGCCTGTCGCCGTTCGAACAGTGACTTTATATACGTATCTATCAATCTCAAAAATTAAACTATAGGTAATTCAAGCCTATCGTATCATCTTTTTTACACAGAAGCTAGACATGTCGTTTTACTCGTGCCGGGTGCGCAGCTTGCGAAGGGACGAACGTTATTATGACACCGCCGAAGACGCAGTAACTTTTTTTGCGTAACTTGAGTAGCTGCCGCGGTTCTGTTGCTGTTTTCTTTTTTGGAGGGGGAGTGGCGATAGCCTGGCATGTGTTTCTGTAAAACGGTGACTGTTAGCAGCACCGTTCTGAACAACAGCAAAAATCCGTTCAGGCTTTCCTAACCGAAATTATACTGCCTATGGGGACCATAGACAGAACAACTATGCGGCTAGAGGGACCACGGCATCCAGAGCGCCGTGAAGACGATAATAATTCTGAACGCCTACAGAGGTCCTGACCGGCAATGATTAGGAATACTTCCCTAGCGACCCGGGGGACCCTGAGAGGCCATTGGAGTCCCAGAGCAGTCAGAGGCCCTCAGCCGTAGGCTCCTGAGCATCACGAAAGGCACTGAGCAGCTTAAACGATCCATGAGCGGCTAGAGACGCTGAGCGCACGGAGGACTTTACCTAGGAATTATTACTTAAGTAAATAACCAAGGGGTCTTACGCAGCTATAAGAGCTCTTAAGTGGCCAGAGCACCCATGGTGGCCAGGCAGGGCTCACTGAACGGGGAAAGGATCCCACAGCGGCCAGACGGGGCCTGCTGAGGCCATGAAGGCCGTCTGTCCAGGCGCCACGCTGCTGCTACTGTTTGCATTTCTACGCCACTGTCACAAGTTAAACTTTGGTTTTAAACAATGGGTCATCCCCTTCAGGACGACCACCGTTCTTGGGCTGCGCAAACCCAAGACGTCCTCCCCATGCCTTAACTGAACCCCCACTTCGGGACGTTGAGCAGGCAGGTTTTGGGTTGCCAGGGTTTGGCTCCTCCTGACAACCCGGAACCTCCAGTGGCCAGTGGTGTCCCTGAGCAGCCAGAGAGATCAGTGGGCGGCGGTGGCCACAAGCTTCCTGGCCACAACATCTCGGGTGCAGCCCCCCCCCCCCCCCCATAAATCCGTTAGAGCCTGATCGCAACCTGTGCCATCTGTTACGCAGTCTGCTATGCATCAAACCCGTCACGCCCATCTGGCGAGGTAGACGTCTGTGGTTCGCGCCACCTGCGCCCCACCCCCCCCTCCCCTGTGCCACGGTTGGTGACCTCTCTTCCTCCGCCATCCATCCAACACACAACTTACTTTACACGAGGGTGGCAGCACGCATCGAACGTGGCAGAGGAGTGTGCCAACGAGCGCCATCGTGATCCGCACGAGCGGACGGCGACGTCGGCACCGTGAGGGCCGGCGGCCTCTGCGCGCGGCTGACGCTGGGGATCACGGACGCCGCGTGCGCCGTTCCGTGTCCGCTGGACGACTGGCGGCCCGGCCGGCGCCAGCGGCCCCAGCCTGCGGTCAGGCCGCCTCTCGCCAGCTGCAGTTCCTCGCCGCGCCCCGATAATGCGGCAGGCCTGTCGCCAGTCCGCGTCCCGGCCGGCCGCCGCCGAGCTGAGCCGCCAACGCTAAATGCCTCAACAGGCCACCCTGGTGTCCAGGCGCCGTCGCTGAGCGGCGAAATGCCGCCGACGACAGCTTCTTCAGCTAACATTTCAGATTACGATCTGTCACAAAGAACTAGCAAGAAAGACGATAGAAGGAAACACTCAACGGCGAATGCACAACGCAAAAAATCCCGAGCGATTCAATATAACGAGTGATCGTGACGTATGTTAAAGCATGGTCAGCGACTTAAGCCTTCGTTGCTCGAGCTTAAGGGTTGGTCTGCGCCAAACTCATTTCTCCTTCACAACCCAAGCTCTTTTTGACGCGCCGTGACCGAAACCGTGTCGGACGGGCGTGACTTCATATCGCGAATCGTCACGACGGTCGGCCCCGTGGTGCCAATTCCACTGCCATCTGTAACCGCCGGTCCTGTACGTCTTGCTAACAAAATATGCACACACAGATGTACGTTGTTATTGCTATAGCTGAGATAAACAGGCTGTTGAGTTGCTGCCAGCTCATGTCGGTT